TATCGTTTTATTGAGGAAAATTATATCGCGATAATTATCGTTATCGTTTTATCGCCCAGCCCTAATCATAGTAATGAGTGATTACAACCCCTTCACACACAGACAATAAAAATGGGATTCATTTTAGAAGAAAAGTTACATATAGCACCTTTAAGTAAAGTATCTCCCATTATTATGATAACATTCATGTACATAATGTGATTTATTTCTGAAAAGATAAGACCATGTGTAAATAAAAGAAAATAAATATTGTTATGACTGTTATTTTTTTTAAAGGAAATTAATACTTTTTTGTTGTTTTTAGCAAGAGAGCTAAAAACAACAATACAATTTATAATCCTAAAATGTATAATCCTGGAAATATGTTTCATTGTTTCCATAAACATAATAAGCAGCAGAACTGATTTTAACATCGATTTAATAATAGGAAATATTTCTTGAGCAGCAAATTAGGATATTGTAATGTAATGATGCCTTTGAGGACATTAGAGACATTAAAAAAAACAAAATATGTATATATTTTTAAACTTGTTCAACAGTGAATATTTCTGTATTAATTTAAGATTATATTAATTGTTAGAATAATTAACATTTGTTTAGCTAAATAGCCGTTAGAAGCATGAAAAATAGAAAAATGCAGGCTAAAATGAGAAATCAGCCTACATTTTATAACAAAAAAAAAAAATGTAGAAAAAAAATAAGTAATCATTCAGTATGACTGTTAAGTCATAAGTAGATCCCTGTAATCATTCAGTATGACTTGAGGAATTATGTGCAAACAAGCACTGAAGTCAAGGTAAACAGATACCTTTGACCCATCAGGCAGAGCGGGAGGGTTGTGCGGTGTCCTGCCGGCAGTCTTGTGTCAGGGTTTCCCAGAGAATGCTCTGGTCTAGCCACATCACACACAGAGGGCAGGAAGTGGCACAGATGAGGTCAGTATTTAACACACAGTCAGACTGAGCCACACAGTGAGTCTACACACACACAGTGGCCTTTCTCTCTCTCAGAGTTGACAAAGAATTTGAGGAAAAATAACTTGTTATTTACTCACCCTCGTGTAATTTCTTCCACAAAACGTACAATATCCTGGCTTGGTTTTCAATATTATGAAAGTGAATGAAAACTGGGATTGTCAAGCTTTAAAATTGATGCAAAATCCCCAAGACCTTTATGACAAAATTATCACAATTTGTATACATCACTACTTCTTTCAAAAACTCCCACAAGCCACAAGGCGAGCCACAAGATTTTCAATTAATAGGCTAATCAATAAAACATTTCCTCATATGGGGCACTTTTATGACGCTTTTTTGCTACAATACAAACTCACTTTCATCGTCATCGTACATTCCATCAAAGAAAGAAAGTCATGCATGTTCAAAATGTCATGAGGGTGAGTAAATAATGACTTTGGGCGAACCGTCCCTTTAAAAAACAAAAACAATCTTCATTAACACATCATCACTCAAAGCAATATAATACACAAGATCAAACCTGATCAGCCTTTAACTGCTCAATGAGACGTCTTGCAAATCCTCCCATCCGTAGCTAATACAAACGGGCATGGATTCTGTCTGGGCCCTTGTGCTTCCTGGAAGCAGGGAGGAAACCAACGGCCAAGAATCCACCCTCTCCACTGATCCAACGTGACATATGTAATTAGCTGAACTGCTTTTAACTTCAGAAGTCTCACTTCAAAATGACTAATCATAGAAATCATCAGAAGTCCAACATGTCAAGCCTGTTAGAATACATTACTATGAACTTTTGAGGATGTTACAGACAAATTGAGCATTGCATACATTGTTTATAAAATGTTTATGAACATGCTTCTTATCAAGACCGGGTTGAGACTAAACAAATCTTTGCAATTAACACATAACTGGCGTGCATTCATGTCTATATTGCTTTACCTGACAAGAGTGTAACCAAAAAGGCATGTTCATGAAGAATAACCTCTTTAGAATTAACATTTACTGTCTATTATTTAATACAAAAAACACTCAGACATGCACTATTGTTGGAATTGTGTCAGAATGTATGTAAAATATACCTAATGCCTAATTACACGACAAAAACCCACACAAGTATTGCGTGATCCGTAAAGCCAGCTACCCTACCCAAGATGGTTGGATCATCGCAAAAGTTAAGCTGTTGAGAGAACTACAGGGTGTCATCTCCAGTTGCCAAAAGTGCAGGTCTATTTCATAACCTCATTGCAGAGAGAAGTAATAACAGGTCCAAACAGGACAAGGCGATTGAAAAACCCAAGCAGCGTAAGAATAGACCAATACATCAACTGTACAATGACACTATCTGAATTGTTAAGAATGCAGAGAACAAAATGTACAAATATGTTCTTCCAATTCTGCTAAGTTTTGGTTTCCTTGCCATTGTCACATTTGGCTTGCTCAAATAAAAGACAACTAATATTGAGAAAATACGACGGAACTGACTGTACTGACACTCTCGGAGGAGATTGCAAAACTTGATCCAGAGCTGAGACTGAGCTGACATTTCATAATTGAACTTTGCAATAGACACATTGAACTGAACTGAATCAACATTGAGCTGAATAATGACATGTTCTGTGGAGTTGCTTTATAATTAAAATGTAAAATGTTTCTTAATTGATGAACTTTGCAACACTGACTTTTATTGAACCAACACTGAATCTGATTTGAGCTAAAAAAAAAAAAAATACACCAATGTCTTCTGTAGCTGAGCTGCTTTACAGCTAAAACTGAAGCTGTTTTTTCTGTATATTATACAGTGAAACAGTTTTGAAACTATTTGAATGGAATTAATAGCTATATAATAAAAGTGACTTGAATAATAGTCTCAATATCAATACATCATTCAACAGTCTTCTGCTGTGTGGATGGTAAAATACATAATATGAGGTAAACTGCATCAGCTAACCATGAGTGCAACAGAAAGGGGGAACCTAAATTACTTAGCCTAGTTCAACTTGTCACACCTTCAAAACGTGAACAAACAATATAGAAACAGTCTTAAATGCTATTTTATTTGACATATTATGACCATTCACACAAGACACAAACGTATCAAGTAGCAGAGGCAAAGATAGTTGAATTCTCAATCCAGCATTGCCTATAGGCATGCTAGCATTGCAGTGGCGTGCAAACTACGGTCGAATACGAATAGAAGTAAAACTCCTATTTATAACGCAGAGAAAAGGGCGAATTAGAATGGCAACTCTCACCTAAGTGCAGACAATGAATATAGCGCACTTGACAGGACGTCTAAGCGACATAATTCCTGTGTTTGTGAGATACAATCTACCAACTCCCTCGCGTGACCCCCCTCCCCTGGACACACACACACACACACACACACACACACACGCGCGCACACACACACACACACACACACACACACACACACACACACACACACACACAAACAAACATTTTAAAAACATGTAGCGACAAAGCGCTGATCAATATGTTGACTTGCAGCGCGCACACGGCGCGTGACGCGAACGCACTGGACTGCCATTGTCTTCCCATTCGTTATTGTTACAATGTTTAGAATGTATCCAGTCTGGTATAATTACTATTGCTACAATGTATCCAGTCAGATAGCATATGGATAGCTGCAATGTATTCAGTCTGGAACCGTTAAATCCAGTCAGAAATTGTACATACTTTTAAAATTTAACCAGTCAGAATTTTTATTACAGTACTGCTTAAATATATCCAGTCTAAGACCAGAATGCATCATTTTGAAATTACAAATAATATTATAGGAATGTACCCAGTTCAGAAACATTCAAACTGCCACAATACATCAATGAAGAAATCATTAATATTACTACAATGCAACCAGTCAGAATTTATTTCAGAAATTATTTGAATTACTATGTAGGCTACGAGCAGTAACAATTTTAATAATTTCTGAAATAAATTATAATACATCCAGTACGATAGATAGATAGATAGATAGATAGATAGATAGATAGATAGATAGATAGATAGATAGATAGATAGATAGATAGATAGATAGATAGATAGATAGCAACATATCCGGTCACAATGTATCTGGTCTGGGACAGTTTTTTCTGATGGTTATTTATTAGCCTATTATTAATAGATAACCTTCAATTAGCCTAAATGGTTTATACTGTTACAATGTATCTAGTCATAATTTATTTTGTGAAACTTTGTAGCCTATTCCAGTCAGAAATAATTAATATTGCTGTAATGTATCCAGTCAGATATACAGAATACTGGTTTAATATTCAGTCTGGAAGCATTAATATTGCAACTATTTAACGCGTCTAGAAGTACCATCAATATTACTGGGTTAACGAGTCCTAAATCATTTATCCAGTTACTGTTTATACAGTTAGAAATGATTCATTCAATCATTTATTTTGCTGCAATATCTCAAATCCAGAACCATTCACGTTGCCACAATGCATCAAGTCATAAATAATAAAGACTGCTGCTACAATTGTCCATCAACCATTAAAAGTAACAATTTTCAAGTCAGAAATCACTTATATTTCCACAATCTATCCAGTCTTAAGCCATTAACACCGACACTATGTATCAAGTGAAGAATCTTTCATAACGTGCCATTGTATCCAGTCAGAAATCACGCCTGCGTTCTGGCGCACAATCTGCCTGACTTCCACTAAAAGCTAAGCGTCTCTCTCTCTCTCTCCCCCTCCTTTTCTCGGCAGACCCCCCACCCCCTCATTTTCCCTCCTTGCCTCCCAGCTAGTTCGGCAAATGTTCGCGTTGCTTCAAACATTATTGGGTGCGCTCCCAAAACATCTTTGCGCGGTGCGTAAACATCAAGTTACATAAATCTGCGTCTGGGTCTCGGATGTGCCACAAAGGGCTTTGCTTTCTTTGGCCAGACGACCCACTAACGCAACAAAACCTGAGTGACACAAGGGGTAAATATCAGATAAACTGGGGCGATGAACAGAAGTTTGCGCTCAGAGAAGCAGCGATGTAACTCACCTTGACAGCCCTGTCCCGCACTACGGAGCCCGGTGTTCCAGATAAAGTGCGATTGTTTTCCACTTCCCCGGCCCCTGTCTCCACACCCCAGGAACCGAGAGTGTGTTCGGGGTGGGGGGCCTGGGTGATAGGAATGATCTCGGACAGACAGCCAATTTGGAGTTGGGCAACGCAGCGAAGGCGCTTACTGGTATCCAAAATGCATGTCTCGGAAATTCTTAAAGGTGTGCGTTAGCTTTCCGAAAAGCCTATATTCCTGCCCTCTCCACGAGACGGGTAATCGGTATCCCGCGATTTGTTCGCTGTATCCGGGCGCGTCGGTCGCCTCCTAATCCGCCATGTTGTGCCCCTGCGCCTGGAATGGGAAGCAGCGGATTCCCAGGCCAAGCCCCTCCTCTCCTCTTCCCACGCAGAGACGTCGCGACATCTGGCGGACGACTTGCTTCCAGGAAAGGGGAATGCGCGGATGCGCAGCGATTGGGCGCAACGCGCCACCCTGCGGCTGGTTGTGGTATTGCATAGAGAGTAGTCGGAGAACAGCACAACTGGAGAATTATTTTAGATTCTAGAAAAGTGACTAGCCTCTTGAAATTTAAAAGGCAGTTACACTTATGTATAAACACCCATTTTATACTTAAAAAATATTTGTAATTTCCTTGTTACCTTTTTTAGTACAACAGTAGCTACATTATCACATACAATAATAAATAATATTTCAGTTTCCCCCCACACAAGTCAACCACGTACACATAACATGGATAATGTAGCAGTTGCATCATTTAGCAAATAAAGTACTTTTTTTTACTGTAATATTCCTGAAAAAGACCACACAGACTTGCCACGATATTATGCTTTATTAATGTTAATGTACTTGTAGAAATTGCAATTAAATAATAAATAGCTGAATAAATATTTTTTTCTTAAGCAGCATCATAAAGCAATCCAGTTATTCTGTAATAGTCTGGAATGTCAGGGGTTCTGGCCAGAGACAATATGAATTTTACCACACTTGTGCTCTTGTTGTAGACTGTGATAATCTGAAATGTTAGACCACTAGGCTAGCAAGACCTGAGCAAATGAGAAATGTTGGACCAAAAGACTTTGATACTGGAGAACCAGCGCTGTGGATTTGTTTAGACAGCCAGATTAGCGATGACGGCCCTGGTGAACTCATCGCTTGACGCGTAGCCTCCCAGGTCTGATGTGCGAACCTACACCAAAGACAGCAATAAAATATTTTTTTGTTGTCTGTTTGCATTAAGAGGTATCAGTATTTAACAGTTTCTCTCACAAACACACTCCTCAGACATTTAGCACATCCCATATCGGTTATTTTGACTTCCAGTTTGATGGTTAAACACAAAATGTTAAATGGGGATGAAGATCGTCAAACACCACAAGCATCACACAATACAAGTGACTCCAAAGCGACACTTTTCAATTCTTTTGGTTTTACATATTTATTTATTTTTTGGCATTGAAAAAAACCATTTGACTAAGCATTAGTCATTTAATCAATGGCACGAATAAACTTTGAACAATCTGTGAAATTGATGTGTTGTTTCCACCTTCCCAAACACCATAAGATATACTATAAAATAGTATCATAAGACACACTAAGACACATAAGAAACATATGAAAACATATTAGAGCAGAACCATAATGACTGAGGCAGTGATGTCATTGGTCTTTGAAATCAGTCAGTCAGTTAGTCAGCAATGTCACGGAGAAGACTTTCTGTCCAGAGCATTTGCATCACCAAACTAAACCAATAATTGTCTATCTGACTTATGACGGCAGCAGATTTGATTAGTGATGTTTGCATTAGTAACAGTGCGAGAGCAAAAACAATCACACTGGAACTTCCGTCTCAATATGCCAAATGGTCTTTGAGAACTTGATAATCAAATTCACTGAGGTTCTGGAACCGCAAAGGCAAATCGACGAGGACCAGCCCCAAACAGAGATGATTTAAAAGCAGGGATAAAACTGAGCGTTACAGAAACAGCGCGGCACGTACAGCTTAGGATGAACTAAAACTTCCATTAAAACTGGAGCAAACAAAGTAGTGCAGTAAACTGATGTCAGACATGCACTAGTTCAAAAGTGTGTGTTTGTGTTTGGGGGTTAACACTTTTATTCAGCAAGGACACATTCATTTGATCAAAAGTGACAAATGACTATTTCAAATAAATGGTGTTCTTCTAAATGTACTTTTCATCAAATATTACTAGAAGAAAATCTAAATGCATCTCAATTGCTACAGAAATATTAAGCAGTACAAAAATGATAATTAGAAATGTTTCCTGAGCACCAAATATTTGAATGATTTCTGAAGGATTGTGTGACATTTAGCTTTGTCATCTAGAAATGACATTTTTAAAAAGGTTATTTTAGGCCGTCATGGCATTAGGATAATATTACAGATTTTGCTGCATTTTCTTATCAAATAAATGCACTTTTGGAGAACACACCCCAAACTTTTAAATGGAAGTGTGATTCTGTTTTAAGATGCATACAATGAAAAACAAAAATGAAAATAAATGTACATGAATACATAACATTCCAGGGGGAAAACAACAACAATAAAAACTAAATCAGTCAAAAAAAAAAGAGACAATGAAAGTGAGAGACTTTCATTGGAAGGGAAAAGGGGAGGGAAATGTGGCATATATAGGGGATCCCGGATAGGTATTGGGTTTGGGAAGCATCTTCAAACAGTCCGATGACTCAGGTTGGCCACAATCGCACGGACAAAGTCACTAGTGGTGCTGTAACCCCCTAGGTCTCGCGTCCTCACCTGGGACACACACACACACACAGAGACAGTCACATACACCCAGAACAGGATGTAATGGCAGAGGAAGAAAGGGGAGGTGAAGACCACATCAGAATCCATGGACAACAAGCACAAACTTGAATGACTTTAAGACGGCTAATAAAATAAATAAATAATAATAAAAAGCCAAAGCTGGGGGTGAATGTCAGAGTATTTAATGTATGAAAGTAATGGATTGAAGACCACATTACATCAAAATGTTGTGGCTTTTAGTTTCGAGTAACAATTATCTAGCAGATACACATTTACTGAAAATGCTCTCAATTACAAATACCATCTGCTTTGACTAGAGACAGCAAAACATAAATCATTTCCGTTGTACTGAAACTTGAACGTTATTTGTTTAAAGTCCCTGTAAAGGCAATCCTTTCAAAAAAATAAAAAAATAGCCAGTGGTTCTCAAAGCATCACAAAATATTTTTTACAGCATCTTTGTTAAAAGCTCTCGCCATCTGAAAAACGCTACACTGATATTGATCCTCATTTTAGATCTCATTGTTTGTCCCAAAGTCTGCTTGCCATGGTCTATGTTTAAAAGAAACAAGAACTGTGTGCCGCTAAACGTTATGCACTACGCAGTTGTCCACGTCTGTCACCATGGTTACATCATGCTTACGTCATGGATAGTGCAGATATTGCATCATTGATAGGCAACATTTTTTTTAGGACGGCCACTTGTTAAAAATTGGAATTTCTCTGAAATAAATCTTTGGAGACTTTTGGGATATTGTAAGTTCACAACTGCAGGAACTGCATATTTTATCACAAAATTCTTACATATTGTGCCTTTAAGAAAGAGGATAGAATGGATTCATTTTGAAAGTTTTAAAATGAAGTTTTTAAAGACCTTATTTTAAGACTTTCAAAATGAATCCATAAGATGAGAATGATAAAATATTAGAAAAGGTGAAGTTAGTGAGTGTGATAGTGAGCAGAATCTCAACCCACAGAACTAACCAAAAAGCCCAACTATTCACATAAAACAAAGAGGGTGTGTGTTGTGGTTAGTGCCATTAATCCAAAACAATTCGCAAAGGGAAACCCACCAATTAGGGTGAAAACCAGTGCCACCAGGACTATATAGACTTGCATGTTAAACATCCATCGACAACAAATTTTGCATCTTGAACTCATAAAAACCATTGCAACACTTGCACTTACACGATCATATTCTCTACATAATACAGAGATGCATATAGAGCTCTATCAGCCACACAAAACACTAGGGCTGCAACTAACGATTATTTTGATAATCGATTAATCGGATAATTATTTTTCGATTAATTGGAGAAAAAAAAATCAATTTGATTTTGTTTATTATACCTAAATAGAACCCTAAATCAGGGTATTTATGAGTAAAAGTGCACTTTAAAAAGTGCAAAAAACACACATCAAGTTTTACTAATATTAATACATCCTTTGTTTTTAATGATAATTGCTGATGGCAAGTTGACAACAATGATTAATGTAAAAACAAAAAATAAATAACCATGCGTTGATTGTATAGAGACTGGATAGAGACATGGTTGACTGGATAGAGAGGCTCGGGAGCGCGGATGCACGTGACATCTGATCATTGCAATGTGTGATTACAACCCCTTCAAACACAGGCAATAAAAACCGATTCATTTTATAAAAAAAGTTACATATAGAACCTTTAATAGTAGACAAATGCTGTTAAAAAGAGAATGGAAGTACGCAGCAAGCTAACAAGCTTGATCAAAAGGACGAGAACAATTATGCATTAGTGCTCAAGCATTCCCTGAAAACCACAGAGTACAGAGACTAAAAAACAATATTTTACTGCTGCTGTTATTAACTGCCTTTATATTTAGTGCTTCACTTTGTAAACACAGATTTAACTTAACCTATTTCTGCAGTAGCGTTTTTTTTAAGTTCAGTTGCGAGCGAACTGATTGTGCAACCTGATGCTCGAGACAAAATACAGACATCCCAAGTCTCCTGGAATTTAGAGCACGCAAGCAAGAGCACGCATGCGAGACAGAAGAGACTGTGCTCCAAACTGTGTAGCGTGCGCACTGAGGGAAAGAGAGACCTTGTGTGTGTGTGCCTTATAAAGTGCATGCAAGACAGAGCATCATGATTGGCCCGTTTCATCCAGTCACCTTTAAACACTCCCCGTAAAGCAAGCAGACCGACTAATTGATCATGACATTCATTGACAATGATTTTCATGATTGATCATCGATCTTATCGATTAGTTGTTGCAGCCCTACAATACACCATTCTCTCCCATTTTACACATGAACACACAAACACTTACCTTGCCCTGCTTAATGACTTTCTTGACAGCCTCAGACACCATGTTTGAATGATACTCAAGGCTGAAAGAAAAATAAACCACTCAACTCATGGTTTTTACAAAAATATGAAACAGCAACAACTGTTCACATTGATAAGAAATGTTTGCACCAAATCAGCATATTAGAAGGATCATGTGACACTGAAGACTGGAGTAATTATGCTGAAAATTCAGCTTTGCATATTGCATTACATTTTAAAAATGATATTCAGTTCATTGATATTCTGAATTAAAATAAATTTTGCTATTAACCGTTTTAACTGTATTTTTTTATCTAATCTTTAGACCAGTAGTTTATACAACAGCAAGATAACATATCATGATGTAAAGTGTAAATTCAGATAACAAATAAACCCACATTAGATCTAAAAACCATGTTTCACATGAATAGAAAGTCAAAACAGAGATAAAAAGGTAAAAATGTTAAGTTTAAAAATATAAGATATGAAGGTGAAAAAGTAAATATTGAATATCAGAGCTGGATAACAGTGGGAAACTCACTTGAGGTGTCTCAACATGTTCGATGCACTGAGGAGCATAGCGGTGGGGTTTGCGATATTCCTGCCGACAGCCTGAGCAAAGGGATGTCTGGCACCCTGAAATGAAATGCAAGAATAACTGTAAAGACCACATGCTGCAAAGCAATTCATGAGTCAGAAACTGTTTATGTATAATGAATGACGGTGGCATGAAAAGCAATTTAGATTTAGACCAACCGTTTCAAACACAGCATATTCTGCGCTGTAACTCTCGCCTGGAACTACGCCGGCTCCGCCCACCAGCCCTGCCGCCAGGTTATCGATGATGTTGCCGTAGAGATTAGGCATCACTAGCACATCAAACTGATACGGATTCTGCACCAGCTGTGGGACACAGAACAACATGCCAAATATATAGGCCGTTTCTCATTGCCAGCCACCAATAAAAGAATGGAAATTATACCTGCATGCAGCAGTTATCAATGATGATGGTTTCGTATTTAATTTTGGGGTAAAGTTCAGCCAACTCTGCACAGCTCTGCAGGAAAAGACCATCCGCAAGCTTCCTGTGGCGATAATCCAAGGTGAGTGAGTCTATGCATTGAGCAGAACTGTAAGAGTGAAATATCACGTCACACTTACATAATGTTTGCTTTGTGGACGGCGGTCACTTTGCTGCGGCCCTTCTTGGTGGCATAGTCGAAAGCAAATTTAGCGATGCGCCGAGATTTCTCCCTGGTGATGATCTTTAAGCACTCAACCACTCCTGAAACGCTCTGCAAACACAGAGGTGCTCATGATGTAGAGGTTATCCTGCAAGCATGCTTTAAATGATCAAAAGTTTCAGTAAGGACATTCATAATTTCTATTGCAAATAAATGCTGATCTTTCTACTCAAAGAGTCCTGAAAATAATAACAATTAATAATTACAATAAGTCAATTAAAGTCTATGAAATCATATCATTTTGTTGGGAGAAAAGTGGTCACCCTCATGTTGTTCTAACCCCGTATCATTTCTTGTAAAACACAAAAAGGATTTCTGACTTTTTAACTTCATACCAGGAGAGTAACCACACCCGTGATCGTAAACATAAAAACAAAATACCAAAAAAGCATGATAAAAGTAGCTCATATGATGCGTGTTATTTGTATGTTATTTATTTAAGCAACATGACAGCTGTGTGTGAAGAGCAGACCTTAAAAAGGTACAATATGTAAGAATTTTGTAATAAAATATCCAAAAATCACTAGCACAGTGTGATATGTCACATGATATCTTAACATTTCACAAAATATCCTATAAGTCTCCAAAATATTTTTATTTCAGAGAACAAACAATTTTAAATAAGTGGCTGTCCTTAAAAAAAAAAAAAAAAAAGTTAAAGTTGCCTGTCATTGACGCAATATCGGCACTATCCTCGGTTTCCGTTCATAGTGCCATAGCCATGATGTAACCATGGCGACAGACGTGGACAACTGCGTAGTGCGTAATGTTTAGTGGTAAAAAGTTCTTGTTTCTTTCAAACATAGACCATGCCAAGCAGACTTTGGGACAAACAAGGAGAACTAAAATGAGGATCAATATCAGTGTGGCGTTTTTGAGATGCCGAGAGCTCCAGGTCCATGACTAACTTGGACTTGACAGAACTTCACGAGTCACAACTTTACAGCTTTAGAAAGGTGAGCAACTGTACATAAAAACAAATCAATGTTATATAACATCAGCTTAACATGACGAAATGTTAGAATATGGCCAGTATGTTATTCTAATGTTGATCTAGCTTACTTTTAGTTTCGTATAGCAAATAAACTAACACATAGTATAACATTATAACTTTCAACATGCATTTAAATGCCGTTTAGTGTGATAGCGTAAAATAAGTTTAATTCGTCTAATAAACTGGCCTGTGTGAGTAATCCAGCACTTGTGGGTAGTTCGGTAGAATTAAATGTCCTTATTCCTTTATATCCGCGGGACTCGCGTGTGATATGTCTCTTTAGCAATCGCGACCTGCTTCATACCACTGTAATGTTAAAAAACATGAATGTTTGCACTCATCCATAAACATTATTAGATCCATCCGCTTGACAAAAGGTCCCATCATTCAGCTCATCACTGTGTCATCAACCTACAAAAAAACTACATATTGTGCCTTTAATTTAAATCACTGATTATGAACTGCTGAATTACCCTTCCAGATCTGTTAAATCTTTCAGTCCAATATGCAACTAGGACCAACTAGTTAACGGAGGACAATTGGCTTAAGTTTTATTCATGAAATACGTATTGCGTTTTTGCTGTCTTACCACATCGGTCTCTTCATCTATTCTTCCTTTCTTAAATGCCTTTAAAAGAAATAAATTATGATACCTCATGCTCCAGAGAGCTGTATTCTCCCTCTGTCTGCTCCCGAATGATGACCAGATCCAGGTTATTGTGGCGGGTGCTGTAACCCGGCAGGCTGTTCACATGAACCACATTGGCAAACAGGTCCAGCTTTCTCCTGTACATTATAACACAAGAAATAACCTATTAATCAAAAACTAGCAGGGGGACCACAAGTAGGAGAAAGCAGCCATGATAATGTCAAAGAAGTACCTCAGTCTCATCTCATAAGATGCCAGTTCACCCTTGTACTCCATAGGAGTGTGAATCTTTCCTAAGCACAGAAAGAATTAACATTTATTTATTTATTTACATAAGTGTCAAATTAGTATACTGTATGTCAGTACATAAATCAGCTTTCACTAGTTTAACATGTTGGATTGAAAGCCACTATATTAAAATGTGATCAGAAATTAGAAATGTTACCTTTGATGGCAACTCTGTTGTTCTTCATGGAGGACAGAACCTCTTCCAGTTTCTCCTCACTGGCCATGTTCTGCACCTCGCTCAGATGAAACTCCTCAAACTCCACAGGAACATCAGCTGCCTAGAGGGTGAAATGAAAAGGGCATTGGAAACAAGCATAGATGCAAGTCTACACAGTGTCCTGTTGAAAAGGCATTTCGAACTTCTTTCTACCCCAAAGTGAAGGATGAAAGTACTTCACTGTGAGTATATCAGGGCCTTAAGAAGGCGGCGGTGGCTAAGAATTCACTGAAGGTTAGAAAGTTTCCTCAAGTCTTTGAAAACATGGCTAAGAGAGTGCATCAGTACCTTGAAAACATCTTTGACAGCAGTCATCAGCTCAGGTCCAACTCCATCTCCAGGGACCATGGTGACCTTGAAAGTGCTGTCGGCACGTGCCGGGGGACTCTCGGCAACATTCTGACTGGTCAAACTCAGGGACCGGGTGAACAACGGCTGCAAACGGGCAACACTCAAACCCTGAGGAGTCAGAAACAACACAGGTCAATGGCTATTATGGGTTGACATCACAGACAGCTCAGGCTGAAGTGAATTTAACAGTCATGATAAAATAGACCCATCCTTTTATGCAAACACTAGTTCCTGTACAAAAACAAAATTTAGTTATTATACTTATTAGGTCCTACTTATCCAGCAAAAGAATTATAAAATGCACACTGGGTAAATTCCCGGGTCTCAGGAGGATAATTAAATAGCTGTTCAGTCATTGGAAAATGGATTTGCGTGAACCATCCATATATGGTTCTAAAAAAAGGTCTTTCAATCCTAAAAGAATAGGGTCAATTAATCAGCCAAAATGTTTTACATTTTAAGTGAAATAATTAAGGGAATACATTCCCCTTGCATGATGCTAATGGATAATAATAATAATGTACAGACGAGTTTTAATGGACCTCTTCCGTGAGCTGTCATCTGATACATTTAAGTTTTTACTATTTTTCCCAATGACGTTACCCATCGTCATGTGTACAGCAAAACTTAAACACGTCTACAGACAGACAGCAGCCTATTCCCCAGTTAATCTTTGTATTTTGCCGTGTGAAGCAAACATACATTAGTAATATTTCAGTGTAAACTAAGAGAAAATTACACCATCGTGTTTCAAGACTCACCTTGGCCAATGTTACTAGGCTCCCTCTCAACGCGGCCGCCATCATGCATTAACGTGAGGAAAGGTCTCTGCGATCTTCCTCCTGAACTAAGAACCGCTAAGTGTGTGTTTCTCTACTGACCCCTGCTGGATGAAGTGTTACGCAGTGCTCCTCAACCCCCACTAGGGGTCCTCAGTAAACTGAATATCATAGACTGTAAAATGCTGCTGAATATACATACATATTAATAAAATAACATTAGACAGTTACCATTTAATTCCAGAGCTCAATTTCTTTAACAAATCTACAAAACTCTGGAAGCAAAAAGAACCCACATCACCCTACAACTACATAAAGTAAATCACACTGATCATTTGTATATTTATTTTTTATTAATAGAATTTCCCTGATTGTCCATTCAGAATAACATATAGAACCTGAACAAATACATTCACTTCATGATGAAACTTTCATAGAACTAGTGTAGAATCAGTAGCCTGAAGATCTTCTATGTTTCTTCGTTTGATAACTAATTGAAAGAAATATCTCATGTTAGTTTCTTGCGAGGCACAAGAGCTGCTTACTTTCAATTAGCAATTATAGAAAGTTAACCAGATGATTTTAAAATGGAGGCCATACTCACAAGTCCAAAGTCATCAACATATGTATACTTCTGCTCTCTGTAATGATGCTTTCTTCTCATACATGTCAGGACGATCCAATCACATATAACGTTCACCTGAAATGAACCACAAAAGATTTTATTAATATAATTCAATTTTGTTCATTATTGTAATCCAGTAAGTAACAGACATACTTACCAGGCCTAGAAGGGCCAAGCCAGCACCTATATTCAGAAGTGTTGGTACAATATTGAATTTTCCAGCCTGTAGAAACAAAACATTAGGATGTGCTAAACAGCTACATTTTAATGCTAACCTGTATAAAAGGAGTCTAATTTAGAAAATTAAAAAGGTCACAGTGTCCTACCCGGCCAAATACCATGACATCAAAGCGAATTCCATATCCCTTGATAAGTGTCCTGGACTCTTTGCCATCATTGTTCTTGTAATATTTAGCAAATCTATAGAAATTTGACCAAACCACACTCATTTAATGCAACCTAGCTTCCTCTGAAGAACCACTTTTACTAACTGCAAACACCACTTACCGGAAGTTGTAACCTGGTGCCACAGTATTTTCTGGGTCTTTGTTGTCTAGTCTGCGGAAAGTGTAGCGAGGAACACACCAGCTATTTGGAAGGTCAAGGTCACAATCCCATCGGATCTGAACTCCCATTACTCCACCCTACGCAGAAGGAAGAAAGGAAAACACCAAGCATGACATTAAAACATTTTATAACATTAGTTTGAAACAGCAATGGCAGATAAATATAAATGAAGTGTCTGACATGGACAGCCATGGTCTGAAAATCCTCATCAGCTTCTCCGACGATGTCTTTGAGTCTGAAGATCGGGCAGTCAGGGTCTGTTTTACGGCTGAACACACACTGTGTCAAGTAGGAGCTATTTATATTTGGTAGGATATTCCTTCTGTAAGGACAAAAGGAGCACATTTTATTCAGTTAATAAATTGGCTTACATTGTTTTATTTTGCAGCCAACTAGTAGACAAATAAAGCACTTTAAAAAGCTTACTTGTTGAAGTTAAATTTGGGATATCGAATATTATTCTTGACAAGCACAGTGAAGTTTTCAGCATCTGCCAGAAGTGGTGGACTGAGATGTCAAGAAGGGAAATAAAACACAATATTACCAACATTAGACACATACAGTATTGCTTCAGAAAGCAGTCTAAAATGCTAATTTAGTGCACAATTACTTAACCCAAACTTTTAAATGGTAGTTTTCCATGGTTTATACAAAAATATTAAGCAGCACAACTGTTTTCAACATTAATAATAAGAAATGGTTTTTGAGCACCAAGGTAGCATATTAGAATAATTTCTGAAGGTTCATGTGACACTAAAGACTCAGCTTTCTGTTATAGAAATAAATACATTTAAAAAGAGTTATTTTAAATTGGTATTAATATATTTCACAATATAACTGTTTTTACTTTTGATCAAATAAATATAGCCAAATAAATATATTTGAAACATTAAAAAAATCTTGATATAAATAATTTAAGAGACATACTTTGGGGGATCAACAATCTTCTCTAAAGGACACCAGGACAGCACCTCACAAGTCTTCACCGTGTCATTGTAATGGACACATCTGCCTGTCCGAACACCTGAAAAAATTAAATGCATTGTTTTATGTATATAAAATGATCTGCTTGCTGTCTTGCAAAGAGTGTCATAATACTGAGATATACCATCGCCACGAGCATCACTGAAGCCTCTCTTGCAGTCCCTGTGAGAGGTGCATATGGACGCTGGATTTGGATTCTAAGTCACACAAATTTAAAATAACATTAAGATACAGAAAATACATTTATTTGAATGTAAAAAAAGCTATATTGTTTAATATATTAGACCATCTTACATTTTTTTTTCTATTATAATAGCACTTTATTATATTAAATATTTCATTTTACAATCTTAGAATAAAATCTTATTTTTTATGGCATTTGATTTCAGCCAGTAAGCTTTGTTTTACATTTCATTAAGTGACAAATGGATGGCAAACAGCCTATTGTGGCTCACCTCTGCACATTTGGACTGTGTTTGGTTAGGGGTAATGATCATGTTGGTCAGCACAAAGAATGAGCCATCCTCCTGAAACATTTAAAAGCATGCGTTTTCAAATTATATCGAAAATATACTTCCTCATTACTGAAAAAAGCCCAGATGGCATGAACACTTTCCCATTTCCTGTGTTAAATCACTGCTATTCGCAAAGAGTATAGTCTGTTGTCCAGTTTTGATTAAATGAAGCAAATAAAAAAAAGTGGATACTTCCAAAACAGAGTATTTTTCTTAAATGTGAAAAGGGGCCACAAGATGTTTTAACACCATTCAACCAAAATATATTTAGTAATTAAAATGCTAAAACTCTGAGGAAAAATCTGCACCATTGAGCTCTAACTTGACATTATTTACTGTAGCATACTGTTGGCAAATTAATTTGAATAGGGAAATGTTGTAGGTTTTATACACAATATATTTACTCATGTCTGTTTGTTTTGGAAAATTAAAAACTAGCTGAGGTGTGAGTAATGACTATTGAGTAGGCCTACAGGTTTTGCATAAAAGTCTGTATTTTGCATAAAAGTAATGTATTTTTATGTATTGACAGTGATAGTTTGTCTTATCAACTGAAAAAGAAAGAGAAAGAAAAAACATAAGAGAAAAAAAAGCACAGCCTGAGTTGAGGGCCTTGGGATATTGACTATTCTGAATGACATAAAGCTATTAAAAACAACTGGTTTAAGATAATTAAAGTGAACTTGCCACACATAACATGTACTATTGTTCAAATACATCACAATTGAAAACATATTGTGCATACATTTTCAAACAGTGAACACAGCATGCAGGTGCGAATAATAACCAGGTTTGTAACCCATGAAGGTGGTGGTGGCACCAGTGAGGGGTCAGTGGACATGTAAATTGTCAAGCCTGTACCTCCTCTTTGTCAAATCGACGAACTACCTGAGGTGGAATGATGTAGTCAGCCACATCCCAGATCCGTTCACCCAATTCAGTGGTGTTTGTTAGAGCAATCCCTTTCACTTTGGTCGTGACCGAGCTGAGGACGGTGTCCGTGTCCTGGTAGCCTTTCTTGAGAACACACACATACCTGTGCCCAAATAAGGGCGTTTTTAAATGATATCATTTATTTTTAATAAGGAATGGAGAATAAAACTTACCCGATGATGTATGCTATTACTAAAGCTTGAGTGAACCGATTCAGCGTTCCCACTTTCTTGCTCCTTATCACCAATAGTTTTGACGTGTAGTAGTCAAAAAAACACTGACCTACTGAATCACAGCAACCCTTTTTGCTCATTATGATCGCTTGATTAACTTTAAAACATTTTCTCTTAGGCTATACTCTGCAGATGATCAATCACAACTTGAGTAGGTCGTTCACTTTCCCGCTATAGCGCTGAGTTGTTTCACTTTCAGAGAGTGGCAATGCGAGCATTTCCTACTCAAGAGCAGTTTTAAAGGAATAGTTGGTCCGGGGAAAAAAGGAAGTTTTGTCAGGTGATTCCTGTATATTATTAACACGTTTTGTTCAGTGAAATGACGATGACGCTGCTGTTTTCTGCACAATGAAAGTGAACGGTGACAATTAGCTCCTTCAATAAACTAGCTCAGCCAGAAGCCTCCAAACATTTTAATTTAAATCAATTAATAATTAAAATTCTTAAGTCTTCCATAAGGTTTTCAAATACCATGAGCTCTCACCTGAGTTGACATTTACTGAAGTGCACAACTGTAAACAGATTCTGTTTTGTAAATTTATTAGGAAAGAAATAGACTGAAATTTTGCTTTATAATTTTTTTTTTTTTTGTAGAGAGGAAGGTAAACAACAGTTTGGTGACGAAATATATATTCATTTACAATATTGGGGAGATTTATATAGGAAAAAAAAAATCTGACTACATTTTTTCCTCCACAAGATATTCAATTTACTAACCCTCTTATCCACATGAAAGTAAAATAAACAGACAGACAGAGACTGGTGACGAAAGATTTTATCGACAATATTTGAGAGATTTATAGGAAAAAAATCTGACTACATTTTTTTTTCTCCACAAGAAATTAACCAAAAAAGTGCTATCCATGGCAAGCAGAGTATAGCCTATGCTGCAGGAAATCACATAATATCTGATTACATTCCAAAAACACACAAGGAGGAAACATTCCTCCCAGCTCTTTCCCATGAGTGTTTAGTGATTTTCTGGAACAATGCTGTATTGAGTGTCAGTGTGTTGCTGCCTAGTTTTTTAAACATTAGGTCACAGAGAGTGCAGCAATTCAGAATTTGAGAGTAAACACACCTGGAAACATGCAATTTCCCAGTTTGCTTCTTTTTATGAGGTTAATTCTACACAAAGACAATCAAATGACAAACATTAATGTTTCTATGTCATTTACAATTTAATAAAAGCTGATTTCATTATTAGTGGTTCATCAAAATGGAAAGTATATGAAATAACTGAGAAAATTTTGTATAATTATAAAGTTTCATGAATAACTGTCTGTTTTAACCAACCATGTTTACCAGTTTGCTTATGAGAGGAAATATTTCAAAACTCTGGGTTTTAATGGATCCATCTTTTTGGGATCCATGGTTTTCACTTCCTCCTGGAGAGAGAGGAGTGCCTGGTGGGCCTCATCAAACAGCTCAGCCCCAATTTCTTCTCTGACTCTGTCCTTCCATGCCTTGAGCTTGGGTCTGTTCTCAAACACATCCATGCCAGCACCTAAAGGCTGAAACACACCATTGGAAATGACAAGGTGTTATCAAATATGGATATTGTGTCATATATTATTCCCCTTAAATACTTAGGTTATCATTTTGCTTGATTTTGATTTGAATGGATACCTGCATGATTTCCACAATAGCAACCAGGTCAGCCAATGAGATCTGATCACCAACAATGAACTTCTTGTCTTGCAGGAACTTCTCCTCAAAAAGGTTCAGTGATCCGTCAAGATTCTCTACTGCATTGTCTAACTTTTCTTTAGGGACCTCAATTCCCATAGCTTTTGGGATCAAAAGCTACAGCAATACAAGAAAACAATTTAGTTCCATTAACAAATAACAATCAAAAAGCTAGCAGTTAGCCCAGTAGCAATTCTAAAGTTTAGGTTTCAATCCCAAAGCCACAGAGTAATTGGAGTCTGCTATCAACAAGGGATTTGCTGAAATCTAAGCACTGTTCTGTTCACTAGTGCCTTTCGAATGAGAACAAATACGCTTTACTCACACTGAACCAGAGTATCCTGGATCCATATATCCGTATGGCAGAGTGTTGCCATGATAGATATTCATTTACTCTAGCACGCTTTTGCAAGTCAGCTGGGTACCAGTGGTCCGGAGTGTGGAACTTCTCAGCCAGGTACATCATAATCGCAACACTAAGAGATAATTAGAACAGGAAATAACAGTTAATTTACTCAATGAACAGTTTCGCAGGAGGCACAAAATAAACAACAGTATTTTAATTTCTAAAGAGAGCATACTAGAAAATGTATTCAGAACACACACAAAAAAGGGTCTATCAAAAATAAACCTTTATTTTTATTTTTTTACTTTTGCATTATCTTATTCTTCCATGGAACAACTAGTGAATATTGGAGGGTTAGCAGGATCCCCATGGGTTTTGGGATTCAAGTCTCTAAATATGTAAAGTAGAAGATTCAGAATTTTGTAAAAGATGGTGTGTGATAATGAATAAAGCTTATTTAGATCTCATCCTCTTAGTTGTTGAATACACACAGAAAGAACTAAGATAAAAGAAGAAATTGCTGAAACCACAACCTCAATTATTTCTCCCAATGAAGCTGATTTTAAACAACAAGCAGAACTTCTTAATTCATCCATGTTGCATTTCAAGAAAGACCTTCAACAAAAGTTTTCAAGAGACACCATCAAATTCAAAAAAAAAAAAAAGTATATCCCTGGCTTAATCGAAGTGGCATCCCAGAGCCATCATGCAAGGTCCATTTTCAAGATGAAATCTCTCACATATTTTGTACTTTACTTTAATTATTTTTAAAACAACAAACTCAGAAGTGGGTGCATGCCAAACAAGAGCAACTTGATCTTTATCCACACTGGTAAAGAACTCAAACCTCATGAAGTAAGTATAAAGGGTTGAGTTTTGTTCCCATCAGAACCACTGATCCTTTTGTTAGGATTTTTTAAATATATATCTTTAAGTCTAACACCCATTGTGGCAAGTATAGTGTCTTTATATTATAGCTGACAGACACTGGAAAAATTGGTAGTCTCTGAGGTAACCAGGAAGAGATGTACTATAAAGACCTGTAGCCCTGCCCCTATTTGGCGCCATGCATGCACTCATTGTGTGATACTACTTGAACACATGAGTGCCAACTGTAGACAAGATCACACTTCTCATGTGATTCATCATTACAAAGAGAGGCTTTTTGAGTTGATTTTGTTAACCCCAGCTTGAATGAGGAGAAAGATCTTGTATGTTTTCGTATGTTTAGAATGCATTTTAAATTTGTATATATATATATATATATATATATAGATATACACATACACATATAAAAGGGTGGTGCTTCTGTCTGTTTTATGAGCACTGAAGAAAGCTATGGGCTGAAACATCTGTTCTGTCTTGGACCACTTATGGGGTTTTCTTTTTGTTTTGACAAAAAAGTTGAGTGCCACTGATCTATAACTTTTTATTTATTAGATCTTAAATTAAATTGAAAACAAGAAATAACTTGCATTTCATAGACCACATACCTTTCAGCCAAGCAAAAGTCTCCATCTTTGATTGCTGGAACTTTTCTTAACAGGTTGATTTTGCCATACTCTTCACCATATTGACAACCTAGGGGACAAATACGTTTTGGTAAAATACTCATGTATCAGGGTTTTATTTTACTTAAATACAATTAGGTAGCCTACAATTTAAATGTTCAAAGACGTGCAGGAACTACATAACTGTTTGCCAAGCTTGACTAACCACATCTGCCACTAGAACTGCATGTAGTAGTCTAAAGTAACCACAACTTTCTAAACACACATAATTGAATTGTGACAAAAGGGGAAACGATACAGTTAACGTTACATCCCATTATAAAATGAAGAACTTCGAATATAGCTTTTCCTTGTTGACGAATGCAGCCAAATCAATACAGTGTACTGCACACAAACAAACTCCACACAATTGTATATGATATCATACCTTCAAACAGAGAAATCTTCTTGTGGTCGAACTGGATGTTGTTTTTCTTGGTAAAGATGTAAACAGAGCGACAGGGCTGCGAAAACAAATCCAAATAAATTTCCAAAGACATTTTTTTAAAGGACCTGAACAATACACTGAAGCACAACCCAGTCCAAAACTGCAAAAAATGACTGCACAAGAACTTCTTCTTCTTCTTCTGTGATTTTTATTGGCAGTTTGCAAGCTATGTGCATTACCGCCATCTACTGGAATGGGTGTGATCACAAATTTGTGAGAGAAAATTTAATAAATAAATAACAGAGAGTTAGAGCCCAAGCTTCAGCTGGCGCTACGTGTTTAGCTCCTCCAGCTTCAACCTCGACTCAACCTCCATAGAAAATAAAATAAAACTAAAATAAACACTAAGACTAAATTCTTTTTGCTAACTGTGTTCTTTTAAGAAATTCTATCACTGCTTTTATTGTAGACTGTATCCCTGGTATTTTCAACAAGTTGCTTAAATTAACAGATTTTGTTACCCTCTTAATCTTTTCTCTCTCTTCATGATACTGCCTACATATCAAAAGAACATGCGTCACAGTTTCTATTTCCTCACAATATGGGCACACACCTGTCTCATGCTTCCCTATTCTATGTAGATTACTGTTCAGTCCTGTATGTCCTATCCTCAGCCTAGTAAACCATGTTTCCTCCTGTCGTGTTAATGAACTCATTTTAATAACCGTAATACTTTGTTGTATACTATATAAATGCCTACCTTTCCCCCCCTTATCCCATTTATCTTGCCAGATTTTACGAATACCATCTTTAATTATTGTTTTAATTTCTGATTTACTAAGTGGAACCTGTATTTCTACTTGTTCTGTTTTAAGTGCTTCTTTTGCCAGTTCATCTGCCTTCTCATTACCCTCAATACCGGTGTGCGCTGGAACCCAAGTGAAATGTATTATTAATTTCTGTTGCGTTATTCTGAATATCATCTGATGAACTTCATCTAAAAGATCCTGCCTGCATTCAGATTTCCCAGTCTGGATACTAGTTAAGGAGGACATAGAGTCCGAACAAACTACCGATTTGTATGCTGCACAAGAACGTACTGCCTACTAGGTTATAACTAACTACTGATAGGCTGCTACTACACCACACCCCGTTGATCTCTGTTCCAAAAGAGCACGTCATCGTGATTGTGTACATTTTATCACAAAGAACACAAAATAACCCAATAATGGTAACATTTAAAATTCATGAATAATATCAAATGAGAAAGAAAAAAACTTTAAATACATTTTTTATTTCCATTTTTCTTCCCTCTCTGGTACAATGAGCGCCATCTGTCGGAAGTCAAAGGTATTTTGACCGTGACAGCTCATTGAAAAAGAAATCTTTTCTTCACAAAGTAATGTATGCATATTGCTTTGATCAGTGTCTTGTAAAACTAGAGATATTGAAGAAATCCCTACAGAAGATAATACATAATACTAATAAACTACTTTCCTGACGTTAGAAAGTCTTTATAAAACTTGCTTGGAGGTAAAATTGTCTATTCGTTTTACAATTACAATTTATTAATACAAGTTTATTTATGTGCAATAAACACTCAATGTGTTCTACCTTTCTTATTGAACCACGAGACATTTAATTTGAACTTATGAACTTAATTTTGTCTACTTTCCCTTGGAACCAAATGCAACCTACGTTGTACCAAATCCCCCAAATGAATTACACAGACATTTTACTCAAGAGCCTTTTTTTAATTGGTTTTTTTTTTTTTTTCAAATCTTTATTTGGAAGGCTGAATCAATATTTTTGACAAACACAATCTGGAAAAAAGAAAAGAAAACACGTTTGAAACTTATGTCTTTAAAATAAATGTGCAATTCATAAATCACTCTAAACAGACATGCTTTTGAATAATTTGTATGGCTTTTGCAAGCCTGTGTAAACTCACGCTCGATCAGAACAAAATCTGGGATCTAAAGGTCTTTACCAGTTACTGTCTTTTCTTGTGGCAAAGTATTTTGATTAAATGCAATACATTTTCTCGCTATTTTGTTCTCGCTGTTTGCTCTGGAACAAAGAGACTCAGCCGCTCGCCTCACGGGCTCATCTGAGGTACAGAAGGCCTTTAACCCTTTTCTGCATTTCTTTATATAGACAGAAACTAATTTCACATGGAAACATGTGCTAACAATATTTGTATTCAGTGGTTACACCTTTTGGGTGTGTGAGACCATTTGTCAAGAAACTATATTCCTTTGTGTGCCAGTTAAACTCTTAAAAAACGTATCTTTTGTGTCTCATTCTTGAGACACTTGTACCAGTCACCGTGAGGCATTTCAATCAAATGATACCAAACATGTATATAACTCGATGATAATCATTCACATTAAACTATTTAGATTTTTGGGTGAGTTTTTGGTGATCTTCGCATGGGGGAGAAGGAGTGGGGGATGAGGGAAATTATAGGTTAGCTGAGACTTTTGTCTCAAATTTTGAGTTCAAATGGTAATTTCCAGAGTGGTCGATCCTCAACCAGTTCTTCCAGTTTTTCTAGTCTTACATGTGTGATTAGATGATTCTTTATTCTTATATGGTCTGATTTGACCGATAGATGTGGTTAATCGATAACTGATTGAAGTGGCACTTTCCCTGGAAAAGTCTGACAAACACAATACTAATGGAATACATTATTATAATATACTCTCTAAGCTTAATTTCTTCAACCTTTTAAACTAAAAAAAATAGACACACCCAACCCACTATGACTTGCTAGCAAAATGTGAAATGCATTTTATATTTAACAGATTAGCAAACAGATTATTTTCAAGTCACATAAATTAGCTACTTTTCAAGAGAACCTGGAGATGTTAATGCAAAATATTCTTAATCCGATAAGAACACAACTTCCTTATAACCCAGCTGTCTGAATCCCAAATAGGAATCACATATGAAGAATTCACTTTCAAATAAGGAAGGCCTTATAAGAAGCTCATAACTGTTCCTTTCTTCCCAATCTGCCACAGCTCCAGAGGGTAGAACAATATCAAAATACTGCAACAGAACAAAGAAGAGAAAGACAATCAGGACATTATGTTTTATAATGCAAACTACAACTATATCTTGAACAAAGGTCGCTTTATCTGGTAGCCATTTTTAGTCTCAATCAGATCCCTGGTTCAGTAGTCAGGGCCCTGATCAGGGAGTCATTTTAAAGGCAATCTCAATGGCTCCCTGAAAAGTCCCACAATGCACCATGAAAACCAGGGAGCAGTGATGCACCCTAATGCCTTGTGTATACTCGAAGCGTACGCAAGAGTGCGCGGCAAAAATGACGTTAATGTGGTGTGTGCAGTCGTGCGTGTTGGGTGCACAGTACTTTTTATAACATCGCGTGGCTTAAGGCTGCGTCCAAAATCGCATAGTCTCTTGAGTAGGTACTTATTTTGAACTGCCAAAAAGTATGTTCTATATAGCATGAATGTGTGTAGTTTGAATGCAATCCATGTACTACATTTGCCCTGTTGTCATTATCATGTGACCTTTCACAAATCCTCTCCCATAGACCTTATTCAGAGCAGCGCCATGACGGGTATGAAAGTGAGGCGGTGAGGGATAGATTACCGTGTTTCCAATGGCATCCGCTGTAAAAAGCTGAATAAAGCGGCTAGATTGTTTACAATTTTCCGCAGCTTACATTGTCGGGAGTTTTTTGTCAACTGATATTTCTTGGAAAGATATTTTTCCAGTGTTTCATGAGCAGAACAATCCGAAAACACATTAAATAACAGTTAAGCCCATTGAAGAGATGCAAGTCTATCCCTCACAGCCTCGCTATCATTCTCATTAAAAATCAAAGATGGCGCTACCGTGAATAAGGCGTATGGCCTACTGGGATAGTAGTGTCCATCATATACACTTCAGAATCTCGCCAGAAGTAGTAGGTATCCTACCCTTTTATGATTCCTGTGAATTTGGACATACTTATACTTATTTTGTCACACTGTTTTTCACCCATTATATAGTAGGAAAGTATTCGATTTCGGATGCACATGTTCCCTTAACTGATATTCTGAATAAAAATAATAAATGATAATAATACATATTACAAAGCAAGTAAGCCAACTCAAAACACACATCACGCGATAGAGGTTTTTAAAATACAAACTATTATTTAATTATATTTCAGCATATAGATAATGAACAATCTAGCTAATATTTGTAATTTTGTTTACGGCTGAAATGTTGCATGTATAACAAGCAAAGGGTTTATCATAACGTACTTTAAGTAACATTTAAAAAATAATGCCAGAAAGACATCAGTTATGCTGTTCTGCATAAATACCAGGAACGATGTTGTACAATGAGGATAGTGTCATGTCGCAGAAAATTGTCATCAGCAAGGTTGCCAGGTCTGTGCACCAAAAGTAGCCCCAGTCAAAAGTAGTCCAAATGAGATTTTATCTATCGGGGGGGCCTAATTCTCTACTGAATTTGTATGTGGGGGCTGTTTTGGACCGCCGAAATCATACTTACAGTGATGGAAAACCACGGACTTGGCAACACTTTTGATCAAGTGTTTGATTGGCTGTGTCCGAAATTGCATACTTCCCAACCAGAGCCATACTACACTCACCTAAATGATTATTAGGAACACCATACTAATACTGTGTTTGACCTTCAGAACTGCCTTAATTCATGCTTTTAATATGTATGTTAATTTTTTTTTTGTGTGTGTGGTTTTTTTTTTTGATTTCAAGATCGCCAATATAGTCAAGGTGTGTTCACCCTGTGTTTCCCCATCTTCTTTATTGTATTAATTTACCGGTCATCGCTCAGCCCAAACTCTCCTTTCAGGAACTGGAAGATTTTGGCGCTGTGCTCCTTATTCTTCTCCGCAGTATCAGTCACTCCAATGGCAGACACGGACATCAACACACACGGGGAGCAGGACCCTGCGATCATCATCGGCAGGTCTGTCTTTACCACCAGATTCATCCTCTGGAGATATGGTGGCGGAAGTCATGTGATCAAGGTCAAGGAGAGAAAAATCTCTTCTGTCCACAGAACAAAACTTTTTTCCTATGCATAGCTTATTCATTCATACTCACGTCTTCCGGTTTCCCCAACGCTGCAGCCAATGTAGCGCATAGTCTTTTCAGAAAGTCTTCTGGAAACTTGTTTGCAGGTAAGTTAGTTTCTAAATCTATGACCGGCATTTTTTCACAAGTTACTGCTGCCAATTAATGTATGAGAACGACCAACCCGTTACAGCTCCTCTTCTTCCTTGTGATACACCACCCTCTCTGATTGGTTGAAAGACAGATACGCCTGTTCACCGAGCTCTGTGATTGGTCAGCGTGCCGAATTCCTTTCACGCCTCTTGTACGGATGAGATTTAAGAAGGTGGAATTATTAAAATAATAAAATTATTACTTTTTTTAAATGAATGTCAATGAAATTGCAATGTTGTAAAATAGCGGTTCTATTCTGCATAATCCAATGCTCTGTTCCTTATTGTTTGTGTAAAGTAAATGCTTGTTGTCAGTATTAGTTTTTTCTTTATTTCTGACAAACTAAAAGATTGTGTTATCAAGTCTTGCTGAGCAAATTTAGTTAGGAAATATGCCATATCACTAGTTATCAGGCTTTTGTTTCGCAACTCTATTAGATAAATCATTTACAAATCATGATCAAACTGTTTCACTTGGACATGAAACGGAGTAATGTGTTGAAAAGTTAAAGATCAGAGCAGTATGACCCACATATTATTTTGTATGATATGCGTCATGCTTAAAAAAATAAACCAAAAGAAAAAATATAAATAGCAGCTTTTTAATTGTACAACATCATTTACATGATCTCACATTTAGAAGTACTGGTATGCATTTCACAACTATCTACATAAGTAATTCACATTAACTGCTGGAGATTTCGGGAACCAATCTTCAATCTAGTGTTTAGATCTTCCAAGTTCTCCATCACACCAGAGATGTTACACCTAAAAAAAGGACAACATATCATCATGCCAAAGACAAGAGTTTTTATTTGTCACATTACATGAATGGGAGTGTATCTTTCACTCTATTCTTGAGTAATTCTTACAAAACAATTTGTTGCATTTCAAACACTTTGAAACAAAACAATCTGTTTTGAAATTGTTGTTGTCTGTTGAAAAGAGGCTTACCCTGAGAGAGTTTGCACTGCTTAAGAGCTTCATTGAAGCCTTCGCACAAGGTCAGATCAGCCTGAGTCGTGGCGCAGTCCAGGAACTGTCTCACCTCAAAGAGACATGGGCCAGACTGAGAGGGTGGAAGTCGTGAGGGCTCCTGAAAAATAAAGAAAACAGACAGAGAAATGCAAGATGAGGAGATGTAACCACTGCCATGCATCTCGGTTTATTCCATATTCTTCATGAAGATAAAAAAGTACATTCAAATCAATCTTATCATCACATATGCAAGCCAGCGATCCATTAGACAAGTTTACTGAAGGTGACATTTTAAGGAAAACTGCACCCATGGACATTTTTTTTTTTTTTTTTTTTTTTTTGCAGCCGGATATATGTGGGCAATATGAACTGTTCCCATTCATTTTCTCCATAAGGTAATATGTTCTTTAACAGTAGCTGTCACCCTCCTTTTTGAGAATGGACATTAAAATGAGCTATTCAAACTTAAATGGTTGTAATTCAAGATTGCTTTTTAATATTGTCGAAGTGAAAGCACTTAAAAAAAAATTAAAGTATGAATAAGTCATGGAAGTTTAAATTTACAGTAAATCAAATATACTGTACTTAACATTTTTTTCTTATATATATATATATATATATATATATATATATATAAATAACATAAATATTTTTTACAATAAAATTATTATAAAATCAAAGTCATATTTTACCAAGTTGTGTTCCAAATTTGAAGTTGATATCACAAAAATTTATAATTTTGTTCAGGCGTAATCCCCAAAAAAAGCCACCAGGTGACATACATTCCATTGAATTTAATTGTATACATTCTGCCCAAACAAATTAATACATTTCTGTCCAAATATCACATCTTTCACAAAATATGGAACCTTGAGACTCAGACCTTTCTGACAATATGTGTTTTGTCAAATTAGAAAAGTTTATTAATCATAAATTATGAAACATGTTGGCGCCCAAAAGGGGAGGAGCCCGATAAAAAGAATTTAGAGTACCGTTTCTATGATAACGCCACGTCCAATTTCAAAACGGTTTTCACAGGATGAATTCTGAGTTCGTAAGCTTTGAGATGATACCTAATTTATGATAACAACTAAAATAAGTGATGTAATAAAAAAGGTGATATTTTATTACAATAATTGACAAATACTAGATTATATGTTTTATTATTAACTTTTAGTATAAAAAGCCAAAGTTTCAATTATTAAAAGTGTGTGCGTCGACTTTCTGACCTGATAAAGGTCAGAACTCCTGTTATGATGTAATTTTTTTTTGAGGCGCACTCATGTAATGAATTCATCTATTACTGTTCCTACATAATTTGTAACAAAAAGCGGTGCTAAAATATCTATTTAGAAGTCTTAGATCTTTCCAACGATACATAGTTTGTCATGATTAGATTAGGTTTTGTGTGTTTCACAGAGAAATATGACATTTTTCAGGCATCACCTGATACGTAGGTGCTGGTTTGGGTGGCTCCGAGCTGCTGCTGCTACCTCCACTGAAAGCACCTGTGATGGCACTGCCCATCACGTGCCCTACAGCCGAGCCGACCGCCACCCCGGCAGCTGTGGTGGCCATTTGGGCCATGAGACCTGGCTGCTTGGGCTGGACCGCGGCAGGGGCCACTGCCATTGGAGGAGCTGGTGCGGGGGCTGGAGCATAGGATGGGGCAGGAGCACTGACAAGGAAAAAAGTAAACTATGTTATTGAGTCTAAGTTACTATAAGCAAGTTATACATACATATATATAACAAATATATTTTACATTAACCTGAATTACTATCACATGATGCAAACACGACTTAGTTTGAGCTGCTTTTGGCAACTTCAGATGGAAAGAAGATAAAGTCTACCTGGCTGCTTGGGTCATGTAGGCTATTAAATGACAGTCATTATGCATAAATAAATACTTAGCAGATAGTAATGCTTTTCAACTCCTTGTCATAAGAATAAGGTTTTTGGTTTGACCTTTCACCTACTGCTCTGCTCTGGGTGTATTTAGGATACACAATTAAAGGCGATATCCGAATTCCTATTGTTTTTTTTTTCTACAGTCCCACGAGTCTGGAGTTTTTCCTTGAATGTAGCTAACATATCGTAACTTTACTCCTACATTGAGTCAAAATAGGCTTCAGCTCGCTAACGCAGATTTACAGTGCTTAACGTTACCAGTTGGCATAACTTACCTTGCTTGTGCTGTTGAAGGACGACTGCGGCTTCCTCTTGCCATTTCAAAAGTAGATCCTAACCGTAATTAATGTCCAATTATTATTATTATTATTATTATGAAGCCTCGAACAAAGCGCGAGGGTAGTTATATCTTCTCTATCAACACAGACTAGTAATGACAGCCGGTATGCACACGTGCGTTTGACCTTGTGTTGTAACTCTAACTACAAAAAATGGCGCATGCGCGCGACAGTGTTCTAGAAATTTGTTAAAAAGCGCCTGGAATAAAATTCTCTCTCTCTCTCTCTGTGTGTGTGTGTGTGTGTGTCTCTTAAATGTATTATATATAACAGATATGCTCAAGTGATTCATAAGATTTTCCTAAACTACCCGGGCTAGATAGTAGAAGCCTGGCTCTTTATACGATATTTGAGATACAGGTGAAGAATGATTTGACAGAGTTTTTAATTTAATTTTCTAAATTCATGACTGTGAAATTCTTTCCTACATTTTACAAAACACTACATTACATTATATAGGCTCTTTTGTGTATCTTATGTCACATTCACAAGTATTACCACCAGATGGCACTAAATTATCGGCATTGAAACCTGTGAAGGCAGATCCATTTCAAGAACCGTCTTTTACCGTCTATGTATGATAACGGGGTACTTTCAGTATGGCACAGAATAGAGTGAGTGGAAAATGTAGACAAAACTACAGAGGCTCTATTAAATGTGTTATGTTTTATTGTATCATCATTTTTCAATGCTGTATAGGCAACTAGTTTATCAGTGGAGGATATAGCTACAGGCCTGTGCCTGGCCTACTGTTTGTCTTCTTTAATCCATTCAATTTTTTCCCGGAGTGTCATGTAGAATTATTTGCATGTGAACATAGTCAGTTCTTTTGCTGGTTTTATGTGTAAAAATGTAATGTGTGATGATGTTTTTGACACATTTCAAAATCTATTTCTATGAGCATCCTTGTTTTTCTAAATCAAAAGTTAATAAATCTTGTAATCCATTTGTTGATAGTTCAGTCAATGTTCATTTCATATAATTTTAAACATGTATGGCATTATTTCTTGTGAATGATCAAGCTCAGATTTTTCAACTCATTTAAACTCAAACATTGGGAAATGTTCAACTCAATAACAGGGGGGAACAACAGGAGCATCTTCACCATTTGCTTTCATTAGGCATTCTTCTCAAGGATAACGTTTTTGTACTTATATAGTCACTGGTTTGAAATAACACGAGGGGAAATAATAAATGAGGACAACGTTTTGGGATGAATCCCTTTAAATTCTTGAATCACACAAGCATCTGTTGTAGTCTTAAAAAGCCTAAATCTGTGAAGAAAGGTTCAACTTTAGGCAAAATGGAAGATTGTAATTTGACATAAAAGCTTTTTAGTCAAATCCATGGACATAAACATAAAAACAGCACAAACAATGTCCAAGATTGTATTGTGGTTACAGCTGGCCTGATAATTTCTGCTTAGTGTGTGGCACGGGGGAGCTTACATTTACGTAAATTGGCATGATTCACACCCCAATCTCAGATGGCAGGAGGTGATTCAGCATACATTAGGCTTTGTATAAGGTTCTGCTTTATTTCAACATTATAGGTGGTCTGTTGTGTCTACATTATATGACTTTATATTAAATTGAACTTAAATAACCCATAGGGCTCAACAGGAATACCGTGTCCATAATGGTCCGTGATGAGGTATGCACCAGTGTTCCACAGGTCCAAGTCTAAAAAGTGATAAAAAGCAAAAAATCCAAGAGGTAAATATATTGTGCAATCATTTTATGTTGGTTTTGAAAAATTCTCATATAAGTTTAAAGTGTTAGCTCACCCAAAAAAGAATATTCCATCATCGTTTACTCACCCTCAATTGTTCCAAACCTGAA